AAACCTTTGAATGCTACATCATCTCCAATCAGCATAAAGGGTGCCCACTGCATGACGTCAGAAAAGTGATTCTCTCTCATCGACTTCATGGCCTGGTGAAGAGATTCACTTGCACTTTCACCATGAACAAGGTGCTCGTAAAAACGATTCATAAACCACATGGTAGCTTCGTCCTCTACAGCCCACAGTGCCGCCAACACGGCGCGTGCACCCGATGCTAGAAATGCTCGAGCGATTCCAACAACTCCCTCAGCCCTTATCTGACCACTTGCACTATGACAGCAGCTAAGGACAACCAGTTTGGCTGTTAGTCGAACTTGTGAAATTTCAGCCATCCTTAATAAGTAGTCTTCTTCGTTTGGAGTTCCGCAGGAGCTTATTGGGGAAAGAGCTATTTCTCCACGTTCGGCATAACCATGAGCAGCGAAGTGAATGAGACTTACTGAATGCATGCTCTTCAGGACTGCCTGCTTAGTTGCATCCCTTCCAAGCAACGGTTGAACACCGAGCAGTTGCCCAATCATCTCTGCTTCCTTTCTGGCCCAAGGCAATGAGTTTAACTGTAGAAGTTTTCCTTGGTAGTATACATCACAAACTTCTGGCTCTCCTACGATCAGTGCACCGGTTTTACTATGGTACTCTACTGGACTGAGCTGAATCAACTTAAGAGTCGTCAAGGAAGGGACAATACGAATCCTGAAAGAATCCGATAAATACTTTCCATTATCATCCATTAAAGCAGCAAAAGGAATTGGATACAACAAGTTATCCGGTACAATGATGATTTCTGATTCTTGGAGTAAGTCAGCTACAGGAGCTACTATCATGTTGTAACCATCAGCAAGGGTTAAGGGTTGAGAGTCGTGATTTTTGTCTTCCTCTTCTTCTATAAGACGCAAAGATTCGAAGTTGTCACTCTGAAATGGTTTGCAAGGTGGCGGGGAACTTACACATGACAACAATGATCGATCTTCGCATTGGTCTTGACGTAAATCAAGAGAGTCACCAAATGTCTGATTTCCAAACACTATATCTGCACTTTCTTGAAGTGTCTTTTGTCGAAAATGTATTATTTTGTTTGGCTTGAGGATCCAAAAAGACATATTATCATCGAAGCAGGAAACAAAAAGACAAGAACTAAGTGCATTTTTGTTCATGATGTTCTCAATACCAATCCATGACTGTGGGTTGACTGATACCCCTTTATCCACAGAGTACTTTTCTGACAATTGATTCCTCCTGCCACTAACGCGTTTAAAGCAATGGTGAGGTGGCTGTTAAACTGCATTTCAATGTCCCCTATTTCGTAACTTATCTCCAGTGCGTTATTAGCAAATTCTTGACTCTTCGCATTAAGCTGAAATTCTCGACAAAGTTTTCCAAGCTCTAAGTATAAAGCTCCAACACCAACTTTGTCACCGATTTCTTTACAGATCACTAGTGCCTTTTGAAGGTATTCTTCAGCCTTGGTATATTGACCAACAGACTTATACACAGTTCCTAGATTTCCGTAAGCTGATGCTAAGCCGTTTTGGTCACCGATTTCTGTCCTGATCACTAGTGCCTTTTGAAGGTATTCTTCAGCCTTGGTATATTGACCAACAGATCTAAAGACAGTTCCTAGATTTCCGTAATCTGCAGCTTCTCCTTCTTTGTCACTGATTTCTTTCCTGATCACTAGTGCTTTTTGAAGGTATTCTTCAGCCTTGGTATATTGACCAACAGATAAAAACACTGTTCCCAGATTTCCGTAAGCTGATGCTTCTCCTTCTTTGTCACCAATTTCTTTCCTGATCACTAGTGCTTTTTGAAGGTATTCTTCAGCCTTGGTATATTGATCAACAGACTTAAACACAGTTCCTAGATTTCCGTAAGCTAATGCTTCTCCTTCTTTGTCACCAATTTCTTTACTGATCACTAGTGCTTTTTGAAGGTATTCTTCAGCCTTGGTATATTGACCAACAGACTTAAACACAGTTCCTAGATTTCCGTAATCTGCAGCTTCTCCTCCTTTGTCACCAATTTCTTTCCTGATCACTAGTGCTTTTTGAAGGTATTCTTCAGCCTTGGTATATTGACCAACAGATTTAAACACAGTTCCTAGATTTCCGTAACATATTCCAACTCCGCGATTATTTCCAGCCTGAATCATGATGCCGAGTGCCTTCTCGTAAAACTGTTTTGCATCCTTGTATTTACTTATTTGATGGTTGATGTTCGCTATTCTAAGTAATATCACCCCTTCTTCTTCTTTTCGGCCACTATTGTGTAGTATCACGTGAAGCTTTTTACCACATTCTACCGCACGGGTGTGATCGTAGATAAGAGTATAGCCATGAAAAAGTTTATAGTATACATAGATAACAAGTGTTGTGGTATGTTCTTTGCTTGTCTCTAGGGCTTTACCGTTAAGGAGCACCAAACATTCGTTAAAGATGTCCACTGCTTGTATAATACGTTCATTGTTGAAAAGAAAAGTTGCAACGACTGCACCAATATGAATGATCTGTAGAATCTCCGAGATGTTGTTCATGACGCTTTTTTCTGAACCTTGAGAAAAAAATATTTTAAGAGTAAGAAAGTGGAAACAAGATTCTTAACGTCTTTAAACTAACAGTCAAACTTTTTGGGCAATAGAATCAAGCTTCCATGTAAGATTTACTAAGGTAGGTCACGATTATAAGTGTTGGATTTCTTTGGCCTAGTATTCTATACTTGTTGAATCTGCAAATGCAGAATATCTATTAAAATAAATAGTCTTACAGAGTAGTTTGTAACGTACTGTTTACCATCATACACCTTACTGTTAAAAATTCTGTAAAATGAAACTATTTCAGTCACATGCTTTGAAAATCGCGAACCCACGTACTCACTTAATCCTGACTCATTCCCCACTCTGTTTGATATCTTTACTTAAAAATACCCAGTCTAACTTTAGTTTGTAATATTTGCCATTACATCTTATATAGTGCTTTATAATTGTTGCCGGCTCATTAATTTTAGTATTGACCTTTTTCTCGCTCTTTATCTCCGGTATCGCATAGGTCAGGGTTCAAATCCTGGTAAACCAGTTTTCTTTTTTGTTAGTTCAATAACCACACAGCAGTTCAATAAGTACACAACAGATCAATAACCACACCAGTAGTTCAATGATCACACATTAGTTCATTGAGCGTAAACTACATGTAGCTGCGGGAAAAATAGCCACAAATACGTTTACTTAGTTATTTTTTAATAAGAATGCGTAGCATTAAGTAAGTGGTAAATACTCATTTAGCTACGGTACGAGAACTAAATTGATAAATAGCCATGTTACACTGTTATTAAGTTCTAGTGAGCTCACTAATATATACAGGAACATAGAGTGATGTTAATTTAAAAATTTTAGTCTGCTCAGAAGGTGTGTCATTCTCATCAGGGGCACAGTGAACAGACCTGGAAAGAGAGTCAGCGCCGAAAAGGGAAAGCCAACTCGATCCGCAGAAAACTAAAACTAAATAACCCGAACAAAGAGCGCGTTAATAAAGCAGAATAAAATAACAGTTAACGGTGGATGAAACCTTGTTTTTTGACTTTCTTTCCGCACGTTTCAAACCGTGGTACCACAGCTGGCCCTACATGCCTGAATCGGCTACCATCAATCCATGTTTAAAAATAGTTATTTTTTACCGTACAAGTCCTGAACTTCCACCTTTCTTGATTGTTTCAAATTTGAAAGGCCGCTGGATGCAATAGTTGCTTGAAGGCAAAGGCAGCGCTTATTACGCTGCTATAGGATATATAATTGTGATTATTAGAGTTATTCAACTGTAAACCGCAAAAATCTCGATAGATTTACTGCTTGAAATATAAATGTTGGTAGGTCAATTTATAACAAATTCATATAAGTTATGATTAAGTACCGCTCAGGGTCTACTCGCAAAATCATGGTCTGCTCTGATGTGCAATGCCGTCCAACAGTGTTTCGCTGCAAATAATATTCTGCTCAAATGCGTAAAGGAAACCGTGCTTTTCTCCTTCTTGCGATCGCTCTTGCGAGAAAGTGGCAGATCACTTCGCTTCCCAAGGATATTCATTAAAAAAAAAACAAACTCGGTGATCGAATGATAAAACAATTATTGAACTCGGTTATCGCAAAATATCGTGATTTGCCAGTGTCTCACAGATCAATTATTTCCCTCAGCCTTCGGCTTCGGCAAATAATCTGCTCTCCACAGACAAATAACGATATTTTGCTCAACCTCGTCCAATAATTGTTAATTGTTCTCGGGACATTTACTTACAGTCGAGCTAGAAGCATAGGTCTGTNACAAATTCATATAAGTTATGATTAAGTACCGCTCAGGGTCTACTCGCAAAATCATGGTCTGCTCTGATGTGCAATGCCGTCCAACAGTGTTTCGCTGCAAATAATATTCTGCTCAAATGCGTAAAGGAAACCGTGCTTTTCTCCTTCTTGCGATCGCTCTTGCGAGAAAGTGGCAGATCACTTCGCTTCCCAAGGATATTCATTAAAAAAAAAACAAACTCGGTGATCGAATGATAAAACAATTATTGAACTCGGTTATCGCAAAATATCGTGATTTGCCAGTGTCTCACAGATCAATTATTTCCCTCAGCCTTCGGCTTCGGCAAATAATCTGCTCTCCACAGACAAATAACGATATTTTGCTCAACCTCGTCCAATAATTGTTAATTGTTCTCGGGACATTTACTTACAGTCGAGCTAGAAGCATAGGTCTGTAATATTGCATTTGAAGCGTAAACTGGATCGCTCTCATTGGTGGAATTCTGCGCGGTCTTTGAAACCTCTAGTAATAAACAAAAAAAGCCCTCGTTCGAAGTCCGAATCCTAGCTCGAATCCATCCTCGAGTTTTACGCTTTTGTATTTAGGTATACTCAAGTATATGCCACGGAAACACTTGAATTCTGCGCAATAACTGAAAGCTCTCTTGAAATATTGCCTGCGTTCTACAGTCGTTCTACTTTTCAGAATAGACGAATCTACCAACTCTTTACAAACGTTTCTGATTCTGTCAGCAATTATACTTGTTTATAATTTCCACGTTACTGATTCAGGAAATAAAAAATAATCTCTACAAATTGTGTTCCCATCATCTCATACATATTTGCTTTTAAACATTTCAAAGTTAAGTAACCCATAACGAAACTAAAAAGAATAACTTCTTCAAGCAATTATGTAGTATTTGCTTTGTTAGGTCAGAAAAAATATATCCCTTTCCTGAACTAGTCAAAGACTAGCCAGACTACTTACCTCTGGCGAGTGACGAGACCTTTGTCGCGCCTGACGAGCTAGCAAACCATCAAAGGCTGTTTTGCTCTGAAAGATCAGTAAAATCAAGGAGTCCCTTGTAAAATACAGATGTCTAGCTACTTCGTTGGCACTGTTAATAACCGGAAAAATTAAACCCCTCGCATGCCACCACGGTAAAGAAAAGTTGAAACTGAAACTTAAGACAAATTCATCACTTCCTGCCGCTTAACAAACGAAGCGGAACTTATTATGTCGCTTCAGTACCGCTTAACACGCGAAGCTGAATTTATAAGATCTCCGCGAATGCAGAAAAGGCAAAACCATCTTGCTCCCATAATAATAAGAGTTATATCAATTATAGGTGTCACGAAAAGCGATTAACAATGTTGACATACAGTGTATTCTAAACTGTCATGAAAAGAGAGATACAAGAGATCAAAACTGGTCATGAAGAGAACAGGGAGAATCAACCAACTGCATATAACCAGTAAACAAAGCGTTACATGAATACTGTAGGCAAAAAAAACAGGCACTTTTTGTTGTTCAACCTGTAAAATAGATGAACTTAAAAGATTCACAACTATCAGTGAGAATAAAAAACGTTTTTAACTCGTGGGTACGAGCGAGCGTACCACGAGTTATTGCAGGGACTGAGATATGCAAATGAGTCACTCGCTCACTCGTAGTAGATGCACTTCGTAATTAATCGGGTCCGAACTCGAGAGCGCGAAGATCTATCGTTTCCAAAGAAGCACGCGCTCGCCGAAGTTCGGTAGCATCAAATTCCTCGCTGCGAGCGTGCATCGTGCGCTACAGCACGGTTAGGATAGAGGTCTTACCAAATTTAAGACAGGCAGGAATCTTTCAAATTAGTACGATTCAAAAGCCTTTGACCCGTCCAGGCGTTAAACTTGACAAGAAGATGAGCATTTGCTCTTCGACTCCTTCAACTTCGACGCTGGCTTGATCTCCTACCTTGTAGTACTGTAGTAGGTTATGTGTATGAATGAATTTATGGCGGTCAGTATAAAACACGGACTGCTGACTACGGACTGTGGACTGGGTATAAAATACGGACTATAAAATACGGACTGGTGAAATGTATGGTAAATAAAGGCACTTCTTCTTCTTCTTCTTAAGGACTCCCCAAGATCACGGGGGGAAATGGATGTGAGTTTGAGCATTACCTTTTTAAAATAACAGCGGAAATCGAGATAAGAAAACATAAGCTAATGTTTTGCGTCCTACTTCGCGGAGGAGTTGTGTCGGCTTTCTATCGCATATGTTCTTTCACTGCCATGAAATGCGTTTACTTGTCAGTAGCCTGGTTTCAATTAGCCTTAATTTCATCCCATTGCTTCGAGTCGTTTTTATGGCTCGATCGTTTGCCCCGGTCGTTTGCCGGCGGAAGTTCCATGGAAAAGGCATTACATTTGAGACTTTTCGCCACGTCATGTGATCATCCTCAATGGCGTAGTGGCTATCTGAGGTCCGGTCAAACCGAAGGTACCAGGTTCAAATCCTGCTAAAGACCTTCTTTTTCCTTTCTTCCTTTTTTTTCCTTTTTTGTTTTGTCTTGTTTGCTTATTTGTTTTGCTGTTTTTTTGTTTGTTTTGTTTTTAAATATATACTTAAATAACTGTTACTAAAGTGCAATAAACAGCAAGAAAAGTATTGTGTTTCCAGAACAAGGATAGTATATTTATAATATGAATTTCTATCATTTCCTCAAATTCACTGTGGGAAAACCAGAGGTGATAACTAATTGATTATTTTCTAAACAACGTACCCACGAGTTGACGATAGTCTTTCTTTGATTTGTATCTTCCGACACTTTGAGTTCAAAATATCGCTATGAAACCGTAAAACCCAAGCAAGGTTTTTCCAACTCGCTGAACTTTGAACTAAATAGTTTAAATTAAGCAGGCACTGAATGCTCTTAATGCGTTTTAAAGCCGTAGCCATTGTCCTTGCCATCAAGTAAATGTTCCCAAAATCTTTTGTTGATGAAGAGTCTACCAGTATTTAGAAATCGCAACGAAAGAAATCTTAATTTGCTCTACCGGCTGATCATGAACAAGAAATCGTTTCGCTTTCCGAGAAGAAGTAAAGAAACAAATAACTCTCTCTTCTAATTTCCTAGTTGGCAACACGTACAAGAACTGAAAATCAATATTCGAATTTTAAGCTAGGAAATGTAAATGGCTAAGTCAACGTACTCACC